TCTCTCTCCTTCCATCTGCCCTGGGGCTATTTGAAATGAGACACCAAACAACAGCTTTCCACTCCAAACTTTCCCAGCCTGCCTTCAAGCTTTGATGTGACTGTCCGATGCCATCACAGTCACTGGGCACACTTCTGTGATTGTGTGTGTGTGTGTGTGTGAGAGAGAGCGAGAGAGGGAAAGTGTATTTCATCACCAGAGCTTATTAATATCTCCATTGTTCAAACAGCTAAAAGTTCCACATAGATAATGAGAGTGTGTTTGTTTAGGGCTTCATTAGAGAAGCCTTTGTTAACAGCTACTGAGTCCACTGTAGTGGATGTGACAGAGAAGGTAGCAGAATGAAAGACATGCAGAGGGAGGAGAGACAGAAAGTAGGAGGAGGGAGGAAGCAGAGAGGGAATGAGTGAAAGATTGTGTGTGTATGTGTGTGTGTGTGTGTGTGTGTGTGATGTCTTAATTATTGATGTGGAAACAGGGAAATGTGCTTGTGGATTAGAGCATGAATTGGGTTGGATCTTTCTGTCTGAACACCTCCCTGTGCCCAAGAGTATGGCATCCAAATCTGACTCGGACCTGACGCTGTTGAGTTTGTACAGTGGTTTTCATTCATTCATTAAATGAAGCACACATTTGAGTGCTCCAGCTGTTTAATGTGTCTGAACCCAACTCGGACTGGAACATAGCATCTAAAGTTCTGTCCGAACCCAGCTCGAATGCTCGGATACTCATCTGTCCTTTTGGGTTCAAGTCAGGTATCCACACTCTATTGTGGATGGACTAAGAATAAATTTTCTATTTAGGCAAGAAAAAAAAGTGTGACACTTCAGATAAAACCACGTGCACAAAACGCAAAAAGCAAAAACTGATTCTGAGGAAGATGGGACAAATGGTATTAACACACACATTTAACTCTCACATTTCGAACAGCCATTAAAATATTTAACTGGGTGGAAACTTAAAGAAAAAGAAGATAGAGTTAGACAAGGCTAAAGAATCGCCTCACAAAGTGAATTTATTTCCAAAAGTGAATAAGTATACCTGCATGCATGCATGTGCTTCAGAGCGAATGTGATGCAACAGATTGCAACCAGTGAATTAGTGAGGTCATGCAGAGAAGTGTGTGACTGACACTACATTTAGAACATACTGTAGCTTCACTTTGTTCTGCTTCATCGTTTGTGCCTACAGGTAATCGCAATCAGAGAATGTGTCATGTTTTTCTTTTCTTCCCTACAATCCTACCAGGAGCAAATGTACCACACATTGTGTTTGTTGCCAATTAGTGATGAAACTGAAGAAAGATTTAATGTGGTCGTAACCTTGGCTTGTGGTTGAAAGAGAGGAGAGCGTGTGACAGCAAAAAAGAAGGTTGCACATTTGCACATCACCACCTGTTATGGAAAACAATGCTAATGGCACGGTAAACTCAATCTGTGTGGCGTTTTACAATAAAAGAATTTGGAGTAACATCTGTGAGAAAACATCTGCTATTATCCTTATAACTTTACCCAGGGAACTAGAAAAACATGCAAGAGCACTGTCAAAGCAAAACCTCTGTTACAGTTGTCTTTTTCCAATCGCAGTATTAAATATACAGAAAGCAGACACAAAATATCATAATGGAATATAATATAATATAATTCAAATGACCTTTTTTGAAGCACGCATATCTATAAAGGACTAGGACATAACTTTTTCATTATGTAGTGTATTATTTTCATCCATCACCCCAACCTGTCATCATACTATAGATCATATTTTGGGTGGTTGTTAACCTACTTGATGAACTGTCCAATGTCCTCACACAGTGCTTCACAGCCAGGCCATTTACACTCTCCATGGCCGTAGAGAGGGTGGGAGCCGGTGTGCTCCTCGTGGCTGCGAACAGAGACACAGAGACACAGAGACAGTCAAACAGATGGCGACTTTTTTGTAATTTATTTTTGTTATTATGTAAATAAAGTATGCCGTAAATAAAGGCAGATACTTTATGAGTATCAAAAGAAAAGCATTAGTATGCCACACTTTGACACACAAATACACACATGCAAAAGTCAGTGCAGCAGCAGCAGCAGCACCAACACAGCCATCTGAGTCTGGTTAGCAGTCATTACTTTGTGCAGTTCATGAAGCCAAGTGCAGAGAGAGGAGGATAGAGCAGAGTGGGGTCAGTTACAGAAGCCAGGCAAATAAGGGAATTGCTCCAGCAACCTCAGAGGCACATTCTTAAATCCATGACCTGACATTCTGTCTTTGGTGTGTGTGTTGTCCATGTGTGTGTCAGTGCTAGTGTGTTCTTATGTTTCAGGAGTTGACACAGAGTCGGCACAAGACCAACCAGCCATGACTGATTGGTGGCTGCTGCCGTCATGTGCTGTTTGTGCTTTTGTGGTGAGCCTATGTGTGTGTTTGTGTGCGTGTATCTGCGCTTATTTATTAGTGTGTATGTATTTGAATATGTGTGTGATGATCACAGACTGGGCCAGGTTTGGTTTGAGCTCTGGGTAAAATAACTGCATCCATACATGTGTGTGTGGCAGGTCCAGTAGCAGATGTGGTTCAGACCTGGATCTTCGCCGGGAGCTGCTGTCTCCACATATATTTACATGGCTGGGTATGTGTATGCGTGTTTATGCGCACGCGCACATGTGTTTGTGTGTGTGGGGACTGGAATGGGGATTCTCCCAAATCAACATCAGAAGGTTGTCTAACAAAAACCATTTGTCTCACAGATGGAACCATGTCTCTCTCCCTCTCCCTTTGCTTTTCGCCTCTTCCTGATCATATGTGCAGGCTGAGGTTGGAGCTTTGTGTGTGTGTGTTTGCATGCGTGTATATCATGTGTATGTGTGTGTGCTGGCTGTGGTTGAGTCAACTCCGGAGCAGCTCAGACAGCAGACATGACAAACTGCTGGCAACCAATATTCTCCTCCACATCAGCCATGCATAAGCTTAGCAGGCTATCATAGTAATGCTACCCCCTTTGCAGCCTACTATAGTCAACTCTTTTGGGAAACCAGTAGCTGTAGTATCACAGTGTGTGGCATAGTTGATCAATTAATAACAGCTCTTTTAATTAATAGTCATCCACCCACAGTCAGGGTCAACAATGCAGTGAATCAGTGCTAAAAGACACTTCACACCAGCCTCCAGTTGTGTCTTACTCTTGTCCACTCATGTATGTGAATGTGTGAGTGTGTGTGTGTGTGTGTGCTACTCACTGGCTGCTGGGAAGTTGGCTGCCTTTGGAGTAAAGGGGGACATGGTCATCTCCGCTGTCTGCCTTCGTGAAGGAGGATATCCACTCAAACAGTCTGGCTCTTAAAGACGGGGACAAGCCCATGAGCAGCCAACACAGCCATGGAACAAAACAAGCCTGTGGTGCAAAAGCACCTGGCACATGCACCTCTAATAATGCTCACACTAAACTGAAGAATTTATCTCTTCAGCACATTTAGACTGCCATCATCTCCTTCTGCTTCTCTTCTCCTGCATCATCTGCTCTCCTCTTCTCTATCCTACCAGCATGTCAGTGACAGCATCAGGCAGATCATGCTAAACCCATCACACCTCCTATTAAATTAAGTGGGAGATGTTTACACCCTGGTGATGCATGTTAAGCTGCATGTACATGTTTGTAACTGTGTTTAGGTATGGAAGAACAGCTAAAAGCTAAAAGGTAAAAGTCCGGAATGACATAGCAGGAGTGTGTGAATTAAAAAGACTTCAAGTCCCACAGATGACAGAGACGCCATCAGCTAACGTGAATATTTTGTACCTCTCTCTCTTTGGGGTGTGGCTCTGTCCATTGGGTGTGCTGTGTAGTGGGATGTGAGCACTGGCAGCTTTGGGGAAGGCTGAGGTAGAATTGGAGCTGTTGGTGCTCAAGTCCAGGCCCTCGGCCTGTTTCAGGGCCTCCTCAGTGTTTGGCACTCCTGAAACTTCCTTCCACAGCTGTTGGAGGTCGGACGGGCACATTGCTGCAGAGTAGGAATGCATAGTTAGATTAGCTCTCACCTAGCTCATTTATCACTTTCTCATGTTCAGGGTAAATATGATTATAGGATATACAAGTTCAGTTAGTTTTGAGAGCTATGAAATGATGTGGTTAATAGTGCATCAGATTAGATTAGATCTCAATACCACCCACATTCAGACATACACAGTCACGATGTAAGTAAAGTGATATCATACAGAGCTGCGACTGTTCTAAACCACATATCACAGTCTCCTGGGAGTAGTTACAAGTTGAAAATAGGGTAAACAAAAACAGACAAGAGATTAATTTCTGCATATTTCTGTTATCTTTCCACATACTCACTATCCCTCAACGTTTTGCTAATCTCTATTGGCAATTGCTACTGTCCACCAGCACCACTGCTCCTGTCACTACCGCTGTTTGTCTGAACAGGTTGGGTGTACGTTTTTGAGCTTGTTCTAGTCGCAGCTTTGTTTTTTCTGCTCCAATTTCATAGTGAGAGAGATGCCTGCAATGCCACAGCCTACTCCAGTGGATCTTACCATGCACGTACGGACACATGCATACAGCAACACTTGCAGACACACACAGAGACCTCGCAGTAATCCAAATATTATGTATGTTTTGTCTGCATTCTTCTGTGGAAGTATTTAAGGTATTGTTAATGTGTTTCCTCTTCTGACCTATTCAACTGGCTCTTATTACAATTATCCTTAAAAAAAAAAAACTTTAAAAAATAAAAGTCAACAGTTGACTGAAAAGCAATCAAATTCGAGCTGTAAGCACTCAAGAGCAAAACACATTTTAAAAAATCCCCATTTTGTGTGCGTGCATTCAGGTAAAAATATGCTGTCACAGTTTCCTCCAGCTATTGTTGACAGACTGTTAACAGGATGAAGTCTAATCTAATGGGTGTTTTTGCA